ATTGGCACGGGAACGACAATAGCAATCGTGAAGTTGCACAATGTACTTGGTGTACGCGGAAGCCAAAAGCTTGGGGTCCACCTTTTGCCAACTCAACACTGACTAAATATGCCAAAACTTGGCAAGACACTGTCCAAAGTCTGAAATTCGACGACAAAAAGTCTTTGGCACAAGGGAGCTCGGGAAACCCGAGTTCATTGATGTGTCTACATTTCTCCTTCAGGCGCGTGTACGCTTGATCGTGCATGGACGCGTCGATCTGGTACACGCCACGGTAGGTGCCAAAGAAGTCCCACCTCATACCACGGCTGCGCTCGAGGAACTTTTCTTCAGCACCATGGAGAAATTAGAGGAGCTACTGCTTTTTATTTTCAATCACACTGTGACGCTTTTAGTCCTACACCGTAGTTCCGACAGAATCCACAAACAAGCTTTCAAAACAGGTAGAGTTGGATCTGAAGGATCTCGGACAGCTCAAATCGCCGCTATGAGTCGAGTTTTGGTTAGCGGGTTGTGGACTACCATGTCTTGAGCTGCAGGGAATAATACGACCCCGAAATGCTTTTTCCTGTGCAGTTCCGATGGCGCGGGTTTGCCTGTGATTTTCGCTCCTTCGAAATGCTTCTCCCGCAACCTAAAGCACTCAGCTGCATGGCATTCTCCTCTGGTCATCAAACGCTGAAAAAGATCAACACGCCTTCAGCCCTTGGACTGCGGTAGAAGCCAGATATCTAGGTTCGTTTGTCAGCCGGGACCCGCGCATGACGCTTGGCAGATTCAAGGTTAGCCTGACCGCCGCAAAAGCAATGATGCGGAACTAACTCCTCACGGCTCTTATCAGTCGGCTTTCCCCTGTGGATGATGTAATGGTGCGTGAACAATCGCTTACTTTGGACTTCGCTTCCAGACGACTGAGTTTCTAGGAAATGGGGCTGCGCAAGTTGCTCTTGGGTGTCAAGCTACCGTGGCATTGCGCGTTTCCCGCCGCCAATGCACCAATCAGGGCAGTGCCTTTGGATGAAGAACTATTGTGTTCTTGAGCAAGATGTATCAAAAATATCCGCTGACAGGTTTCATCTGACCGCGGAAACTCTTGCGCTCGCCGCGATATGTCCCCGCATGTCGATCCCCCCGCATCTGCCAGGATCAGCATTCTATACGGACGCCCTATTACGCATCTTACGGCAAATCCTCTCATGGCAATAAGGAAAGTGTTGGGCGCAGAATGACGTTGATGGCCAATACCCGGTGCATAACATTTTGCAAGCTCACCATTGGACCAGCGGGCTGCCTGTATCAGGTAAACCATAATGGAGTTACCCCTCATTCCCTGCATCTATTTGGAGCTGCTCGCCGATGCTCGATGAAGACCTCAGCTTGCGTCCTTTTGCATGTTGACAAGCAGCATAATTTGAGCATCAGTCAGAAGCAGCATCACATTTCCCGCATCCTCCCCACTTCGATTAGTCGACGTCCACCGGAATGGCGGTCCAACCATGGTCAAACCTCCCGGAGGCGCTGGGAGGCCCGAATATCCTCAGTCAGCTCGATGATTCCTTCAAAACGGACAGCATTTTCCTCGCTTTCGCAACGACGGATGCAATCAAGGAGCCCCAGACGTTTGCCATCAAGTCCAAGGGAAGTGATGTCGCACTCGTTGTGACTGTTTGCAACGGCAAGGGCGTGATCAAAGTCGGCAAAGATGCTGAAGCGTCCTTTACCCTTGTGGCTCCCGGAGAGCATTGGGAAGCATTCTTTAGGCAGGTTCCGATCAATCCGTATCAAAGCTTCTGGGGTAAGCGCGCAAGTATCGGGCTAATGTGAAATGAACTGACGCAACCCAGGAATGCTCACGCGTGGACTACCGGGCGTCAAGGTCGAAGGCTCCGAGGCGAACTTCAACCATCTTTCCCACCTCTGGCGTCGCGTTCTCGAACTCATTCGCGAAGCACACTCTGGACACACTCCGACTGATCCGGACCCATCCGACACTGAAGAGGACTACATTACGGGCGAGTACAAGTATATTACTGCGCCGCTATGGGGACGAAACAAGATCTTCATTGAAAAGGCGGGCTCGGGAAGACAGCAGATTCTTTTCTTGCACACGGCTGGATCGGACAGCAGGCAGTATCACGGCGTGATGAACGATCGGAGGATGAGGGACCGTTGCTCCATGTACGCGGTTGACCTTCCAAGTCATGGACGCAGTTTCCCGATAAAGGCCTACCCTCCTGGAGCGCACACCAACACCGAGGATGCGTATGTGGGATTTATCGCTGCCACGGTCAAGAGGCTTGGGCTCAAGAAACCAATCATTTGCGGCGCGTCAATGGCAGGACAGGTGTGCTTGGCTATAGCCATGAGGCACGAGGAGGTCGGGGCTGCTGGAACCATTCCCTTGCAAGGGTGAGCAAACAGGACCACTCGTTCATTGCAAACAGTAGACTGACTTACCCTTCTCCAGGTGTGAGTACATCAGTGCGGCGCGGAATTCCAACGACCGCTCCCCATATATCAACCAGACGCTTTGGAATCCGGAATGGGTCTACGGCATGGCGTCGCCGACGGCACCTCCATCCAACAAGGCGTTGCTCTGGCACACTTACTCTGGACAAGCCTACGGCATCTTCCACGGCGACTTGGACTTTTACTTTGGCGGGTTCGACGGACGCGAGCGCCTCAAGACGATCAACACGCGCAAGTGCCCCGTCTTCATGCTGACGGGGGAGTACGACTGGAGCACGACGCCGGCCATGAGCGAAGCCACGGCGGCCAAAATCCCCGGCGTGGGGTTCCGCATCATGGAAGGGTTGGGACACTTTCCGGCAACCGAGAACCCTCAGCGCTTCATACCGTACTTGATTGAGGCGATTGATTGGATCCAGAAGAAGAGGAAGGAGGCCACGGATTTGAGTCTGCTGCGCATGACTGATGATTGACGGGTTGGGTATGGCTTGGTGCTGCTGGTGGAGAAGACGCTCTTTTTCCACTGCTCATGGCTTCTGTCTTCATTTGTAGTTGTGCAGTCAATTGAATGAGGAATGACTCTTCTCTACCCCGTCCTCTGTACCTCGGGATTGGGGGTGCTGCTTTCATACGTGCAACGTTTTATCATAATTTGTCTTCAACCCTCTTTGCTTTCTCATTCCTCAAATACTTCAGGAATCCCATGGATCTTCGAGTAGCAGGTAGGTGCCTGAATGACTGGGTCAAGTGCAGGTGCGCGTCCTTGCGACATATTCTCAACGTCCTTCGAACTGACTGACTTCTTTCTTCTTCTCCCAACTTCCAATCATCTCGCCGGCGGTAGCTGATTATCTTCGCCATGACGGCTTTGCTCAACAATCAACTCCTCATCCGACGCCGTCACCTATGATACCCTTCGCTGGGAATCCGAAGCTTGTTGGAGCGTATACAATGAGTTTCTACAAAGGAACAATCGTTCTGTACCAGTTTGCAGAAAGACAAGGCGGGAGACGTGCACGCCATACAATCGTGACGATGTTTGGACATGTGGATTACATCGTTTTCGATGTCTTGTGCAAGAAAACAACTAAAAGCGAGAGAGCAACGAAGCAATACTGCTCGGGAGCGTCCACGGTTTTTCAGGGGTAAATGTGAGAAGCCTTCAACCATCGACTCGCTGAGACTACGGCAGAACTCCACGAAGTTTGCAACGACTCGGACGCCCATCGTCCTGATCATCGACTTGTTCGACGTCCAAATGTGGTCTTCGTTCAGAATATTTTGTCTAGCTTACTCCTTTTATCCGCTTCTCTTTTTGGCATGCAAAACTTCTCGCCTCGTGCTTTCTCACTACTTTTCCCAGATCTGGCCACATGCGTGTGCCCATCTTTGGCGTTGAAACATGATTGCTCAGAGAGCGAGATAGAAGTCTTATGAATGCCGAAATTTCACTCTGATTGTCTTCCTTCCTTCGCATCCCGCCGCGTCGTTCGAAAGTTGCCCCCTGAATCGACTACCTCCTCCTAATGAATTCCTCTCTATTTTGCGCGCGGTCATGTCCAAATCATACATGTATGAGCTCCTCTTTGCATTCTTGCCTCATTACATGCATCTGTGCGCCGCCGGCCGTCCACAGCAACATCACGACTTCAACCACTGCGGAGACGAAATAGGGGTGAGACCAGTCGAGCGAGATGGCTGTCCTCACAGCGGCCGCAATGTCAGACGGCACAGTCAACCCCGAAACTCGAGTGACCATCATGCCATCATGCCATCAATCCATCCATCCATCCATCCATCCATCCATCCATCCAGCCTGTTGTTCCCCATCTCACCCTGCCTTGCGCCTTGCTCCTGACTGCCACATCTCTCCACCGCCAGCCAGACCGCAAGCTCGCCTCATCTCGCGTCAGCCAGCTCGTTCGCTATTCGTACCGCGCGCCTGCGCTGCCTCCGTCTCCACACGGAAGGGGGGGGGGAGGGGGGGACGGGCGCGGGCAGCGCCGAACAACGCATTGGCCGTCTGTCTCATCATCCCCTTCCTACCTACCTACCTACCTACCTACGTCAGTCATCAGCTCACCCGTCCGGTCCATCGAAGCGAGCCGCCCATCTCCTGACGTGAAGCGGTGGAGGCACTACTGAGTGCGGAAAACGCGACGACCCGGGCCCCGAGTGCCTCTCCTCGGGTCGGGCCCGTCCCAGCAGCCGGCCCACCAGCCTGTCGTAGTTTGCGAGCGTTCCTGGCAGACGAAGAAATGCCAGCGCTCCGAGCCATGCCCGAAGCGAGGGCGACAAAAAAAAAAAAAAAAAAAAAAAAGTTCGGGACAGGGCAGGCAAAGCAGGCGCGAGACACAACGAGCAGTCTTTAACGGCGCCAGCAAGACGAGCCTGCCTCGTGGCACATGCACAGTCGCGTGGTAACAGCGCACGGACTCTATCAGAAATCTTCAACACCACACACACCTTTTTCTCTGCCAGGCACCACGGCAACAGCAAAACGGATGCTGCGAAAGCAAAAAGAAACATGTTGACGAGGACGAGACTCGAACTCGCGCGGGTTGCCCCACCAGGAATCAGATTGTACTCGTTAAGGGTGACCTTAACCTGGCGCCATAACCAACTCGGCCACCTCGCCAATTTTGTTGTGGGCTTCTAACTGCTTGGAAGCAGCTGTGCTTGTGTCGCAGGTATTAGCGATTTTATACCATATATACAACAACGTTTAGCTTCATGTAGATTTTTTTTTTTTTTTTTAATTTAATTTTACGTCCTAGTAGAGCCGATTAGCTATTTAGGACGGGGCTACCCCGTACGTAAATAGCTAAGGGACCGCGTAAGGGGTACCTAGACTATCTAGTTTATTATTATATAATAATTTACTATAGAGTATATAGATTAATTAATTAATTAATTAATTAATTATTTTACGTCTTACTAGAGCTATAGGCTATCTAAGATAGAGCTATCTATAGAGGATACTATATATATTTATAAGGTAAGTAGGAATGCCTAGCTAAAGAGTCTTATATAATAAAGTATAATTCTTAGTATAGTATTAGTATAGGGTTATTATAGATAGATAGTTTATCTAGGCTCTTTTTAGGTAAGGAGGGGCTAAGAACTAGCCTTCCTACTATTATCTAAGTATATAGGTAGTATAAAGTAAGAGTAATAAAAGGAAGGGGGGTAGAAAGAAGGCGTATATAGAAAAGTAAATATAGTATAGAGTAGTAGGTAAGGTAGATTATATATATACTCTACTATAGCGTTCTAGTACTATTCCTAATAGTATAATTTTAAGGTAACCTAATATTTATGCTAGAGGGATAGCTTTATTAGATAATAGGAATAGTTTAGGTTCTAGAAGTAATAAGTACTATTATAGTTACTATACTTTAACGCTATATAGGTATATTTTATACCTCTCTTTATATAGTAGTTATAGTCGTGCTCTTCTATAGTATAGAGGCTAGTATATAGTAAGCATTTAGTCCTATTACGATACCTAGAGGAGCTATAGCTAAATTCTTAATACTTTATATACTATACGTCTAGAGTAATCCTAAGGAGTTTTATAACCCTTATACTTACTCCTATAAGATAGAATAGCTTTAAGATAGCTATCTCTACCTCTTTTACTATATAGAAGGCTATAATGACTAACCCTACTTTTTAGGTAGCCCTTCTTTTAGCTAAAGTAAGCTAGTATAGAGTTCTAATAATAGAAAGGCTAGGATTAAAGGTACGGACCTCTTCTATAATAAATTATCTAATATTAAGTAAGCGTAGGTCTTTAAGAGGGATGCTATAGATAATAACCTTATACTAGGTTTAGTTCTCCTAGACTATAGTATCTAGGAATAGGTAAGTAAAGAGGTTCTTATAGGAGGTAAGAAATTTAGAGTCGTACTAGGGTAAGCTAGTAAGTAGGATGTTACCCTTCTCTATATATATTACTATTAACATAATAGGGCTAGATATACCTACGTTCTTAAAGGCGTTATTAATGTTATTTTATATAGAGAGAGGGTTAAAGTCTAGGAAGGAACTTTACTACTAGATAATAACCTATATATCCTATAGGGTCTTTAGGGGAGTAGTAGCTAGCTTTATAGTTATCTTTAGGTAAGGAGTTATTATATATAGTTTTCTAGTAGTAGTTACTTTCTAGGCTTAGGTTATATACGATAGTTTAGCTAGGTTTATAGGAAGGATAACTAGCTTTTATAGCTAGTAAACCTTTACTCCTAGTATATAAGTAGTATTTTTACGGGAGTAAACTTATATAGTAAGAACTAATAATATATTACCTACGCGACCTATCTTAGTATAATCCTATAGGACGTTACTAAGGTTATAGAGTCTTTACTTTTTACTTATATTATATATAAGGTTTATTACGTATAGGATGTAAGAGAGGGCTATATTAATTACCTCCTAGGTAGTATTAAAGTTTAGACGAAATCTAACCCTAGTTCTTTTTCCTTAGTAGGTAGGGTTAGGTTTAGAAGTATCTACTAGGATAGTTCTCTTTAGCTTAGTATACTATTTCTTAATTAGGCCTAGTATAATAAGTAGTAGGAATAATAGGGGGATAGGGCTTATAGGGAAGTCCTAGTCTATTTCCTTAGGTTTATTAGCTAGTTAAGTAGGTAGTAGACTAGATAGTATAGGGGTATCCTAGTCTATTTTCTTAGGTTTATTAGCTAGTTAAGTAGGTAGTAGGCTAGGTAGTATATAGGAGTCCTAGATTTTATAGTTACGGCTATCTAGTAGAAGGGAAACTAGGTTAGGTAGGGCCTCCCCTTAGGGGGTAGGTACGGGTATACTTATAGTACGATACTTTAGAGGGTAGGTTTTTACTTTCTAACTTTAGTTATATACGTATAAGCCCGCGCTATATAGTTATAGTAGGTATAGTGATTTTTAATTTTTTAAAAATTTTATATATAGTAATAACTTATTAACGTATAGGCTTTTTTCTAAGAAGTAGTAGCTAAACTAAAGAAGAGTAATATAGATTAATTAATTAATTAATTAATTAATTATTTTACGTCTTACTAGAGCTATAGGCTATCTAAGACGGAGCTATCTATAGGGGATACTACGTACGTTTATAAGGTAAGTAGGGATGCCTAGCTAAAGAATCTTATATAATAAAGTATAATTCTTAGTATAATGTTAGTATAGGGTTATTATAGATAGATAGTTTATCTAGGCTCTTTTTAGGTAAGGGGGGGCTAAGAACTAGCCTTCCTACTATTATCTAAGTAGATAGGTAGCATGAAGTAATAGTAATAAAAGGAAGGGGGATAGGAAGAAGATATATATAGAAAAGTAAATATAGTATAGGGTAGTAGGTAAGGTAGATTATATATATACTCTACTATAGTGTTCTAGTACTATCTCTAGTAGTACTATTTTTAGTTAGCGTTATATAATACCTTTCTTAGCACCTATAAAGGTAAAAAAAGCGGGTAAGGTTTTTAACTAGTAGCGTATATCTTCTAGCTAGCTAGTATAGTTAGCTAATACTTATTATAGAAAATAAATAATACTATAGAACCTAGGTTTAATCTACGCTAATATTACTTATAATTTAATCTAGCCCTATTACTACCGTTAGATAACTATAAGTTAACATTATTACTAATAATAGAGCTCTATATGCCGCCCTAGCCTAGGTATACTATATAGATGAATAGTATTAAGCCCTTACCTTACCGCTAAACGGTCATCTAATCATTATTAGGAGTGGGAGGGTTCGGCCGGAGTAGTTACGGAGTGGTTGTCTAAGCTATGTTAACGCCTTCCTGATCCAGAGGGCTGGGGTCTTAGTGGAGGCTCTACATGAGGTGGAGGAGGGGTACGGGCCTGGAGGGTGTCGGTTGGACTGCGGATGAAGGGGTCCTTTCCTAGATTGTCTTCGGTTGGAGGGGTTCGATAGGCCTACCATGACGACGAAATGAAAACACCAAACAAAAAAAAAAAAAGAAAAACGAAAAAAAAAAACACGGCCACGACCAAGGCAGCGACAAGACGAGCTCAGGAGCTGTGGGACGCCAGGAATCCAGGGTGTCCAGTCCAAGAACTGCTGCTGACCTGGGCGGGCCTGCAAGCAGAGGCACACAACCAGAGTCGACTCGTCGATCCGGTGCAGTGCAGCGCGGCGCCCAGCCCAGCCCAAGTGCTGACTGACGGCGCCAGCAGCGGGCCATCACATATCACATTGTTTGTTCCAGCAGTGCAATCAGTCAGTCAGTCTCGACGAGGCCAGAACGGACCAGGCGCTCCGCGAAGTGGCTGAGTGCGACCACACTATCCATCCATCCATCCATCCATCCTGCACGAAAAAAAAAAAAAAAAAAAAGAAAGGGGGAGAAAAAGGGTGGCAGCTCACAGACCGACAAGATAGAGAACGAACGAACAAAAGCGGACACAAACAGGGTTGGTAGGATGGGTACGGAGCAAAGGAGATGATGCAGCAGTCAAGACGACAAACAAATTGACGCCGCGACGAACGACATGGATGAGACGAGCAACAAGACAGCGAAGAAAGCAACAAGGGATGAGGGCCAGGGGTTGGCCACGGGCTCTCCACGTGCAGACAGCGCCGCTGGCGAAGAGGACCTGGTGCAATGGTTTACCCCCCCCCCCCCCCCCCCCCCCCCCCCCCTCCCCCCCTCAGCGTGACTAGCACTCCTGCCCAACAAAGGACGAAGACGCCAGCTGCGTCCTAAGGTAGACGATCTAGCCGGACAACAACGACCGAGACCAGGCTGGCCAGCCAGCCCACGGGACGTACCGGCATGTAGCAGCACCACGCGCGAAGACAATCAATCCAGTCGCGCCTCTCCCGCCGCATGGCCATGGCAGACATTTTTGTTGTTTTTTTTTTTTTCGATTGGATCACCTTGCGCCGCGCCCCTTCCTTGATAGCATCAGATGGCATGGCATGGTTAATTTCGCGCACAACGCAACAAAGGGGGGAGAGAGAGAGAGACGAGGGAAATTGGTCGGACACGCCGCCGCCGCCGCCGCCGCGGCGCCACAGTGCCCGTGATGCAAATAGCTATCCTATTTCGACGGCCACTGCCTTATCTGGCAGCTTTGCCATGCCGCCGCATGCCATGTTCTGCCACATGCCCACATGCTGGTTGCATAGGTATTTGCTAACAGAGCGAGCCGGGACCCAGACCAGCGCGAGTGCGGCGCCCGCGCGCGTGCCTGCGTGCGTGCGTTTCTTTCATTTACCGGTTCATTGGGAATAATGTCAAAGGAAGAGGAGGAGGAGGATGAGGCGTTTGCGCGCGTGGAGCCGCCGGGCGGGCGGACGGATTGGCTATTCCATGTGCGCTTGGTTTCGCTTTGTTGGTCGTGGCATGGGGGGGGGGGGAGCAAGGCGGAGGAGATGCGCTTTGTTTTTCTCCCTTTGATTGTTGATTGCTTGCGCGGCGCCTGTCGCGGCGGCGCCGAGGAGTGATTGACCGGTTAGATGCAGCAGCAGCAGCAGCAGCAGAGGTCTGAGAGCAGTCCGAACGCATGTAGGTGATGATGTGCAGCTACCCCGCCTGCGGTCTGAGAGATGGTGGTGGTGATGGTGGTGTGCTACCCGCTTGCGGTCGTCTGTGACAC